GCTTAATTTTTAGTTGAATGACAGAAGCAAACAAAAGACTGATTGATGCATTACGAGCTAGAACAAATTTGTATCATAGCAGACCAAAAAATTTAGCAGCAGTGTACAACTCAGGCTTACCTTTCCGCGTTTGCAATGGATCAGAACTGGATGATTTCTCACATCTAAAAACACCAAAGAGGAAAGAAAGATGAGATTTTAGCATAGGTGCAAAAGCTGAAAGAAGAAAAAGGATCTCTTCGTCTCAGTACCAATTAAGACCTTCAGAGCTCTCATGATAGCATCCCTGAGAGTAGGTAGGGAAGGCTCCTTCACAAGCAAATAGTTGCAGAATATAACATCAGAAAGATAGTCATTGGCTAACAAAAGACCCAATCTTCCATTATAAAGCACATAATTCATGTACGGCATCCAACATAACTAACTGAAAATAATCCTAAGAAGTAGAACAATATATTGATTAAACATTTGATATATCAAGTAATTTAGACACCATAGAAACAAGAGCGCAGAAATATGACCAAAACCCTTAACTTCTACAGCCACTTTTGCCTCCAACACCCGATGCTACTGAATTGCATATACTAAAGATCATAAGTTGGTTGCCATCTTAACCTACTTTCGTCTAAACAAAACCAATTAATATTTTATACAACAGTTCCATCCTCCCAAGAACTAGATTAAAAATATTTATGCTTCTGTCCGCTATAAATAAACAAATGAATAGCTGTAAATTATCTGGACAACTAATATCGACACTACAGGGTAACTAACCACCATGATTCTGATGAATAATATACCATAATATAGAAATTCATCTACATCCAAAAGCATTACGGCAATTTTAATATATGCACAATTTATTTAGCTGAAAGTGTGTAGAACATGGTATCATTGTCCAAAAGTTCCTGTTTTATACGATTAGAAAGTGGTCATGAATAGATAATGACACAAGGTGTGAAAGACCTGTTAAACCCATAGACCATATTTTCATCATGAACAGTTGAAAACTAGTCTACAGAATCTACAGCATATTCCTGGAAAGTGTTTCCAACCTTACTATCGCAATTACAACAGACAAGGAAAAACCAAAGCCAAGTTACTATCACTTTTTAGAAAGCAGCCGGACAAGATTAGTCAAGCTACTTTTGGAATTTACCGTAAAAAAAAAAAAAAGAAAAACATTTAAAAAGAAACATTCATGGAATCAAGCATATATATCTCACAAATCAAGAACAAAAAGCATGTTTGCAGATAGATATTGCATATTTTTCCATGGCTGAAAACAAATAAACGAGAAGGAACATACTGTTTTCCCTTCAATTCCAAACTGAAATAGACGGATATTTTGAGACTCAAGAAACTTGAGATTCTCATCTGGATACGATTCCGTACACAAATATCTGAAATAAATTCAAACAAGAACACGTCATCCATCGTATGGTAAAAAACGTTTGCAAAAATCAAGAAACTCTTGGCAAAATTTTCCCAGCCAACAAACAAGCCGGGAGGGGAAAATTTTCAATTAGATTGTCAAACTAAAGATTAAATACACAATAAAGAACATAGAAATCAAAACTCCACGCGTAATTAAAATCGCAGTGTCAAAAGAAATACATCATGAATCAGGATTATCAGAAAAAAAGAAGGTTCTTATCCCGCAATTCTCTTTGCAAGAAACCAAAAAGGCAATAAAAGCAACAGCGTTTCTTTCTTCTTTATTCTTTCTTCTTTCTTAGGGAGAGCTAAATAGCAGCATTTTGAAGAAATTGATAAAAGAAGTTCAAAAAAAGGAAAAATCGTCTCGACCTGATTAGTAAAGGTAATCTTCTACGAAGTATAAAAGCTAAAGCCACAAAAATTCAATCAAAGAAGTAAAAAAAGAAGATAACTAGAATCAAGAAAAATAAGATTACACTATGGATCGAAGATTGAGTGATCGAATGAATCCAAAATTGGAAGGCTGAGGGAAACTCGACCGATAAATGCCATCATCAACCATTGAGAAATTAGGCGGAGGAACCAAAACCTCATCTCCATCAACTGTTTCAAGTATTAAACCCATAGGTCGGAAGACTAGTGTATTGTTTCAGAGGCGAAATTGAAAGAGAAGAGGAATAAAGAAGAAGAATGCCGGGAGGGAAGGAGGGAGGGAGGGAGGGAGGAAGAGAGGACCAAAACGCTGTCGTGTTAGTATTTAGTTTTACAAAGGGAAGGGCTACGTTATTGTTTTCATTAAGTATATAAAAGCGGGGGGGGGGGTAAGTGGGCTTTGAGAAGGAATCGAATTGGAAATAATAACCGACTAACATCCGGGAAACTGGAAGGTATTTATGAAACTCAGGTACGAAGTTAGCACGTGGGGAATGGGATCCGTTGATTTTCCCACGTGTGGGGAACTTTCCTTTTTATTGTATTTAAATTTCTTTTTTAATTAAAATATTGATTTTTGTTTTTGACGGTTAGTTAAAGATTAAGATGAGAAGGATCCAAAACCGCCCGCCAGCCAGTTTCCTGTCAAAGCAGGTTTGCCAGTTGTTGGATATATTAAAAAAGTCAGGGACCCACGTGATAATTAAAAAGT